TCTCTCTCTCTCTCTCTCTCTCTCTCTCTCTCTCTCTCTCTCTCTCTCTCTCTCTCTCTCACTCATTCGCTCGCTGTTACGGAGAACGCTCGACATCGAAATCCAGCCGCGTGAGCGGATCGTAACGCGTCCCGTCGACATGGCGACGATCTTTACGTCTCGCAGCTGACGTCGATCTTCCATAAGCGATGTAACGAACATTCCTTTACGAGGGAGCAAACGCTACGGTGGTGGCGGCGGTGACGGTAGCGGGGGTCGAGCAACCTGGACGCGTCATTTCCGACGGCTAACGCTTCGCGAAGCGGGGTGGAAGTTGATCGAACGAGTGGGTGGACGAGGTAAGGGAGAGGGACGGGGCAACGTTATCCGGGGCCGCAGAGCCGTAAACCTCGAAGGAGCTTGTAATAACGATAAAACACGACGAGGAAGCTTGGCCGAGCGGGAAAGCCCTCTCTTTCGCTCTCCTCTCCGCTCCTTCTCTATGTGTTCGAGCCGACGAAGTTAGGCCGGAAGTAGTAAACTCGCCCGGAACCCGGGAAGCCTGCGCGTTAACTTCGCTCGTCGGACACCCTTAAAATATTATATACACGTGGCTGGACTTAGATTAGTCTGGGTCGCCTCGCACACTGTCGGGGGCTCTACGCTAAACGCTCTCTCGGCTCCCTCTCCTTCCCCCCTCCCCCTCATCCGCGATACCACGCGCTCTCGGCGTGCACCGCTTAAAAATCAATTTGCATGCGGAAGCTTTCCTGATAGTGCGCGCCGCTATTAATTTCCTGTAACGCTGCGCGCGATATCTGATACCATCATCTTCTTTATTAGCCTTTAACCTCAATAATGTAATAGCCACCCGTGTGCGTTAGATTTAGATGCGGTTATCGGTGGGGGAGGGAGCGGCAGGAGATATGTGTACACGTCATTCTCGTCGATCGGGATCGCGTGGCTCGAGATTTCGCGATGAGGTGACGAAAGTTCAACGACGGCCAGCAGAAACTGTAGATACGCCGCCGCTTCGAACGGGGTTCCGCGTAGAACGATTCTGTAATTCCGCGTTCTGCATCCGCCGCCTTGATCATCGCTCGGATCGAACGTCGGCGAGAAGAACGCGATGATATCGCGAGGCGAACGGTCCTTTCAGAGAAGCTGTTCTGCGTCGCTGGAGGACAGTTATAAAGTGCCCGGGACATCGGGTCACTTCGATGTCAAGGCCACGCCAGGACGAAAGCCTATCGCGACGGAGAGAAAGAAACAGAGAAACACTCCTGCCCTTCTCTCGGGCGGGAATGCCGGGAGGTATAGAGGGATAGAGAACGAGGGGACTGAACTGAAGAGAGAGACAGAGAAAGAGAGAGAGATAGATAGATAGATAGATGGATGGATGGATGGATGGATAGATGGATAGAAAGGGAGGGAGGAAGGGAGCGGGAGAGAGAAAGGCAGAGAGCCGGTTGAACATCGATCGCGGCTGGCCACGTTACGGGCGTATGCGCGGGGTCGCACCGGTCTGGTGCGGCAGCTTTCCCGGTTCCGGGCTCCCGAAAGCACTCCCCCCGACCGAGTTCTCGCTCTACGGTAATTCTCCGGCTGATGAGGGAACCCTGCGTTCTCTCTCTCTCTCTCTCTCTCTCTCTCTCTCTCGCACACATACACACACATACACACACACAAACACACATTCGCTCACTCACTCGTTTCTTTCTCTCTTTCACGTAATTCTCCCTCGAACTCGCGCGCCGCGAGCGTCTATTTATTTTAACGACCGACTAATCCACTACGTGCGCGCTCCGCCTTTTTGCTCGTTATCGGCAGCCTGCGAGGGGCGGCATTGCTCATACTACGACTGCCAGAATTGTTCTTCGGGCTTCCTCCGACGGCCGGAACCTCTCGATATTCTCGTTGCTCGCGAGTTTTCGGGTAGTCGAACTCCGAATTTGCTCCAAGAATCCAAATGAATACGGAGATGGCGGGTGTTTATCGCGGCTCGACCGAGGACAGCCGATGTATAATCGAGACGGCCGATTCGCGACTTCTAATGCTCGAGATGTGTGGTCTAATGAGTATGGCTCTTCAGGAAAAGGAAAAGAGCGTTTGTATATAAGATGACACTACTCAACGGATAATTTGTGTCACATAGAATCCCTAATGTGTTTCTTATATATTCTCATGCGCAGAATCGGAAAATATCTAGTTTACTGCTGCCATCTTTAATTATCTTGGCTTTCGTATTTGTCATATGTTGTCAAGGATATGCCCTTGAATAACTTTTTTAAAAGTTTTTAGCCGATAGTCATGTCTATAAAAAAAATTATGAACGAAAAACGCGCACAGTGTGTGTGAGTGTGTATGTATGTGTGAGTGAGAGAGAGAGAGAGAGAGAGAGAGAGAGAGAGAGAGAGAGAGAGAGAAAGAGAGAGAGTGAATATAAAAGCGAATATACATTATAATAGAAAGGGACATAATTCTTCCGTTAATGTATATGTGGAGACGGTAGACATGTAGAGGCAAAGAAAGAACTCCGTCTCTAATCCTGCACCCTAATCCCCAAAAAAACCTAACCTAAGTCAACCTATTTTAACAATATACATCAAAATGTCACAGTGATATAGGTTGAATTAGAGTTAGGTTAGGTTAGGTTCTCGGGATAGAGGCACAGGAGAGAATCAGAGCCCCTCCGTTGCACACATATAGCTCTGTTCTTCAAAACTTCACAAAAATAGAAAAAGTGAATGTATGGACAGGGGGAGACAGGCTCTCCACTCTTTCCCCTTCTTCATCAGAAAAAACTAACCTAACCTAACTTAACCCAACTTACATCATTGTAATATATATACGTTATCGAACAATCTCTTTTGGTATTCTGTAATATAAATGTGCGTTATCAAGATGTGTATATTTTTTGACAATGTATGCCAATACCTGATTTTTTCAATTCTATACTTTTTTATATTGAAACACTATTAATATTAAGCATTTAAGTTCTAAAATTTAAGCAAAATATCTTTGCTTATAATAATTTATGAGGAATAACGGTTTTTTTTTTAAATCAAATAACATACAAGCTTATATGATAAAAGCTGATACTTTAGTTCTCTAGTTTTAAAAGAGACACATCACAAGCTGAATACAACAAAAATCATTAGCTTCTACATTTTATATCAAGTAAGTCACGTTTGCATATATAGAGGAAAAATTAATTTTCCTGAAAATCACACAATCAGTGGAAAGTTCTGAATGATAGAAACGGTCTACTTGCATTTTTTTAATTCTGCGTAAAAAATACTATATGGATCACATAATTTGACTCATGTGACAAAAAGGTTTTTCTCAGTAAGCCTTTATAATTGCCGCCGCCTCGTCTCCCAGCCACTCTGGGCTATTCAATTAGAAGTACAAATGTTCGGAGAGCTATCTCGATGAAACGACGCGATCATCTCGCGCGATACCGCAGCTCGCTTCCAATGCCACGTCCGATGCATGCCCGGCATTGCCATCGCCGATTGCGGAATCGTGTTTTGCGGAAAGAAGAGGCCGCGGATAAAATTATTGCCGACGGGGGCGGCGATGAGTTATCGTCGGCGATTGTTACCGGTTGTATCGCATCGGGGCCATAATTTTGCGGAAGATTCGCGGGGCGGTTTATTCACCGTGGATCAACGAGGGGGAGGGGGAGACTGAGGGAGGAGGAAGAGGGTGGCTTTCGCTCTTCTCTCTTTCCGTCTCGCAGCGGCAAGTTATTTACCGGACTGGAAACCACCCGCGCTTCTAATTCCAAATAAAAGCGTTCGGCGGCAGCCTGGAACGGCTCTCCCTTCATCGTGGCCGCTCGTAAAGGACGGGCTTCCGCTTGCCAAGAGATAAACGTCGAAACGCTCAAACTCACGTTTAAACTCGGGGTTATGGATAGACGTATTTATCCCTGGGATCATTGAGCACCATCACGAAATTTAGGTGCGCCGCATCGGTGACCGGAAAAACATACATCCGTGGAATGATAAACTTGTGTGCCGAGAAAAACATACAGCTGTGATTTTTTCCGATAAAATGTCTCTCCCGCGGTACGTGTGCATAATAATGTAAACGTAACATTCGAATATATATCCGGACGATATAGAAGTGCTTTTTTCGCAAGCAAATCCAATAAGCCGATGTGACTTTTCCTCAATGATAATATTCCGTATGGAGAATTTCTTGGGATCTAATCGAACTTTAACCCGATTTCTCAAAATAATGACAGGTTCTGGGGTTAAAAGTGTAATATTTCAAACATGCGATTTTAAGTAAGGAACCAAAAGTTTTCTCAATCTTTGTTCCAATCTTTATTTGACATTAGAATTAGACATTAGAACAAAATATATGTTGACTTTCCGAATAATTTCATTGTTTAGTGGAATACTTATTAAGTGTCTTAACAATATTTTATTCTTTCGAGTCTATTTTACTAAATAGTTGGTATAAAAATAGTAGGTGTAAAAGTAGAATTTCTATTTAGTACCATGAAAGTATATCGACGTTACTGAGAAAAACACGAATTTCAATTTACTTTTGTTTTGATTTTAGACAGAGAACCTATGAGACAAAAACGAATTTCCCCATAAATATCGTAGCGTGATAACCGATTTTGGGACAAATTTGAGCAGTTTAATTGATCTTGTATTTATAAAAATTTTGAAAAATTTCTGTGATGGATACATCGAGATATCGATATTGATTTTATTGAACACGATTATTGAAGCTTAGACTTCTTTGCAAATACTAAACTTTAGCACAGCGAAGCCAGGATGAAATATTATTTTCCGATTCGTTTCAAGCAGACCCCGCTCGAACGAAGATGCTAATTGGACGTTTAGTTGTCGGCGATGACGCGATGGATGATCGATGATTTACAAACGATGTTTCGTTTTCTCCCGTTACAGGAGTCTGTGCGATCACGCGTGGCGATGGACTTCACCGGTAGTGTGGGCAGGATAGTCGAGGATCCGAAGGAAGCCAAGGACATAGCCGAGAACGAGGGCATAATCTGGCGACGGAGATGGCGGCCGTTCTCGCGAACACCACCGGGCTGCGCCATGGTGAGGCTGCACGGCCTCGATGGCGGTATACACGTTCTTCAGCCTTGGTTCCATGGCGGCCTCAAGAGAGAGATCGCGGCGGCTATCATAAGGGATCATGGCTCCGTCGACGGGTAAGTTATAATCAATTCACTAATCATTTTTTCTTTAAAAGACGAAGATTTTTACCTGTTTGTGTACAATTTCAATTTTAAATTAAATTTCAATGTAAAATCAGTACTTGAGTATCAATAGTTGTTACTTAAAACTTGTCTCACATGAAGTACTCAGATCTGAATTTAGCATTAGATTTGAGCTTTCATCCAAATATGCCACGTTACATTTGTAATCGCGATTTAACTGAAAAACTCACATCTAACTCTAAATTCAAACCTGTATATGTATCTCATGCGAAAAGAGTTTCAAGTAACGATTATTAATATAGAACCTAGCCCCTCTCCCCCACTCCAAGATATTCAGACTTAAACAATTTATTGTCACGTTTAACAAAACGTCAAAGAGTTAAATGTTTAAAAAATACTGAATTATGTGTTATCAAGCTCTTAAATGCACAAATATAGATTAAATAAACCAAAACGCAAAATGTCGATTATGAAACACACTAAACTCATAAGTGAATTAAAAAATGAAGCATTAAACGCAAAAATCAACTAAATATTTCGGTTACCATTCCGATCTTCCTCAGTGGAAATGGAAAAAACAAAATGCACAAATATTGTATGACTATACACTTATCACACATTTATAATCACACGTTAATAATTATTTTACATGACATTATAAGTATTTAAATTTATAAGAAAAGACTTCCAATTGAATTTTCGTCGAAGATGAACCTAATTCGACGATATGGTTGTAAATTTTGATACTTTATCCTGGATATTTTTTTATCCTGGAAAAACAAAAGTTTTAATTTGTTTTCAAAGTTTTAACATTAACCTTTATTATTGGTTTTAATTGTTTTAACATTAATCTTTATTATTAGTTTTAATTTGTCTTCAAAGTTTTAACATTAACCTTTAGAATTTTAATTTGTTTCTTAATTTTCCTCTTAGAATCTCTTAAATATTTTTTCGTCACGTTTGACCACGTTTGAAACGTCGAAGAATTAAGTTTAAAACTACGAGAAGAAACAATAGTTTCCCCAAATCGCGAACTTTCGCTGAGAACGAATCTCACTCGAACATACGACTACAAATTTTGGTCCGTCGCCCCATTCGCGCGCTGTATATTTGAGAGGAACGCTTTTACCCGGGACGAGAGTCTTTAATCGCGGTCCTTTCGAGGCTTCGCGCTGTCGGAGTCAGCTTTCGTTTCTCCGAGCAAAATCACCCGATCGCTCGCGGATTAATCGACCGAGTGTCGTCGCGTATTGCAACGGTTCTCCCGCTCGTGACGACGCGCGTTCCCTCCCCGAAAATCCCGATCGCGTCGATGCTGGCGATGATAACCGTCATCATCCGGGCTGGAGGGCCTGCCTCTCGCGAACCGGTTGAGAGTTACGACCTCGAAGCTGCCGCGCGAGCGACACGCCTGGCTGATGCTTGCGTAATTCTCATCGCGATTATTACGAGCGATCGTAAATCACGAATGAATTCCTATCGAGCATCCTCCGTTTCACTCGCCCGCCCACACGCTTCTCTTTATTATCTTAGTATCTTATTATTTGCTAATCTCCTTGCGTCTGTCCGCGCGTTTGAATTTTAATGCTAGCACCGCAGGTTGTTGAAACTCCGTTTGCTTATGCATGCCGCTTTGCCCTGCTACGTTTTAATGGCTATAGTAATGATAATACACACCTTTAGAGGCTGTCGAAATATGAAAATATTGCGTAAAAGATACATCATGCGCGTGTATAAAAGTTCAGAGAAGGAGACGTCGAAAGGAAAATGCTGATGCTCAGCAAACGATGTCTCAGCAAACGATGGCTCAGCACATGATAGCTAGCAAAAATAACTCTGCTGTAACGAAGTTCGTTTAAGAGATGGCGATAAGTCGATCATTATTTATTCACTCGTTTGTTCTTTCGGCTCAACTGGATATGCGTATTGTCATATAAGCGTTGGATTAAGGAAATGAAACTAAAGTACAGGATGAACAACTCCAAAGATAACAAAGAGATGATCGTCAAAACATCATGTTAGTTGAACATATTTAAGTGGAAAATCTAATTACGCATATACAGGATGTCTGACAATTCATAACACCCGTTGTGTGTAAAACTCATCAAGTTAGACACAAAATTCTTCTACCATTTTGCAAAAAATTACGTAAAATTTTGAGTTATGGCTAAAGAAGATTGGTAAATAATCATGCGCCATACGATAGATCAGCTGTCATGAAAGTTTGCTGTCGTATGTTTGTACATTAGATCAAACCGAGCAAAAAAGCTCTCTATTATTTTGAAAAAAATTATGTAGATTTTTAGTTATTAATTGAAGAAGTTTAGTGCATTATCGCGCATAATTATGCACCGTTCTCCATTAGTTAATAACTAAAAATTTACTTAATTATTTGCGAAATGTTAGAGAGCTTTTTTATTTAGTTTGGCCTGATGTACAAGTAGACGTCGTCATACAAGTAGACGACACATTTGCGAGCGACGCCATCACACCTTATTTATAGTATCATGCGTGTTCATTCACCAGTTATTTTTAATTTATAATTGAAAATTTTATGTGGTTTGCAAAGTAGTAGAGGAATTTTATGTTCAGTTCAATGAATTCTACTTGCGTACAACGAGTGTGTCATGAATTGTCAGACATCTTGTATAGAAATTTTTCTCCAAATTTTTCGTATATTTTTAAGTTTCTCTAAATTTAGTTGTAAATTACAGCAATGTTTTTTTAAACATTACTGGACAGATCAGACATACATGTGACAAGCTGCAGAACTTTCGTGTCAGGCAAATATTTATGCTGATATTCGAGATATCAATTTTTAAATTTAGTATCGTTTCCGTCGCATATTAAGCAATGGTCCAATTTACTTTTGCACATACTTTCATTTGTGTAAAAGCATTGCTAATTTTGCAACTCCAATATGACGTAAACTTTGTAGTTCCTGCAGTACTTCAAATTAAGAAAAGAAAAAAATGTCAATTTTTTGTCGGTAAAGTTTTTAAGTATGGTATCCTCTTAATAATGCTGAATTAATAATTTCCCTTTTTTTCTTGTTCTTTCTCTTTCTTTTTCTTTCTTTTCGCCTTTACCTATGCCGCCTTGTCTTGGGCTGAATCCGTCATCGCGACCACATTGACCCTCGCGTTTAACTCCTATTGACCCGGTAAACATCAATGAATGTTACACGTGTGAACACGTCCTTGAGAGAGGAACATCGAAAAAAATTAGTAATATCGCTGATTAAATTTTATTATATTTGCATAAAAGCCTCTCTCTCCTCCCTTCCTTTTCTTGCTTTTTCTTTCTTTCCCTCTCTCTCTCTCTCTCTCTCTCTCTCTCTCTCTCTCTTTCTCTCTCTATTTCTCTCTCTTTCCACATCGTATTTCTACACCGTGTGTCTCTGGTTTCTTCCGAAGGATTATGCACTGCACACAGTAATCAAGTCTCGCGGATTCGTCACGTCGATCATCCATCGCGATGACCTCTCGGACGCGACCCTCGAGTTCTCGCGGCGGCGTTTCACCAGGCGTCAGGAAACGTATCCCGGTTTGTCGCTTGCTGCCTCCTTTCCCTCGGTTCCCCGCTCCATGATCTCATCTTTTATTTGCCGAACCGGCGCCGGGAATCGCGGATAAATGGTTAATTAACGACTCTCCTCCATCTATCTCGTCGCGCTTACCCTCGGGTAATTGAGTGCTCGGGGATCACGTAGTTGTCTCCGGGTTTTACGTTCGTTCAGGGGCCCTTGCATAAATTTGCATAATCTCGATCTTGTAGCCACCTCGCCGCCCCCGTCGTGCTTTCTTCTTCCGCCTCCTCGCTTCCCCGCGACGTCGTCGGAAAAAGAGAAGAGGAGAGGAAAAGGAGAAGAAGAAGAGACGGAGAGTAGTCCAGCCCTCTCGCGTCTTCCTGCTAGCGCACTTGCGAGCTCTTCTTTCGTCCTCTTGAGTTCCTCGGCTCGTCGAGTTCCCTTGTTTCTCTCTCTTTGCTCCTTCCCCGCCTCTCTCTCTTTCTCTCTCTCTTTCCCTATCTCTCCTTCTCTCTCTTTGGGCTCTCTTGTCACAGTCGTCGTCGTTAGACACGAAAAACTTTCTAATCGATTGCGCCCCGGGCGCTGCCTGCTAATCGTCATTTGTCTCTCTCGACGTAGCCGAGGTCTCAGGTAGCTCGAGATAGAGGAGCGCTATATTCTGGCGACACGGGCTCCTTTGTACGGGCCATAACGTCGTTATCCTAACTCGGGGTAGCAGTCCTCGGGCATTACCGTTCCGCCAGGACTACGAGTTCTAACCAGCACCACGACCTAACTCCACCTCCACCGTCAGCACCGGTGTTATCTGCCCGCTTGGTGATACGCGGACGTGGAGCACTCGCTCGCATGAATATTCCATCGGGCGAGCGGGGTGGATAAGAGGCGATAACCGGACATTTGTGCAAACGCGTTATCGCCCCGTGCTATGTATAAATAATATAGACGAGAGCTTGATTGGAGAACGCGCGCGATGGACGAAAATTTCACCGGGTAACGCGCCACCGGCTCTCTTTCTCTCTTTCTCTCCTCAGCCAGGATTTCTCGAAGTAAGATCACCAGGAAGGAAGAGAAAGAGCGCCGCACCAGGTATCACTCGTCGGAGTTTTACGATCGCATGGCCGCGTCGCGATCGTTTTATGACGCGACTTTCTCTCTCTCTCTCTCTTCTTCTCTCCTCTCCTCCGCTCTACAATATCGTCGTAGCTATCCGGCTGCGCGACCGGTCCTGTCATCATTGTTGCATCCCTTGATCTCCATCTTCCTCTGCCTCCGCCTCTCTTTCTCTCTCTCTCTCTCTCTCTCTCTCTCTCTACGTTTCTCCCCCTCTCACCTTTCTCTATCTCTCTCCTCCAGTCGTTTCTTTACCGCTTCGCTCGTCCCGCTGCCTTTTACGACCGTACTAATTTATATCACGCGATACGCCCGGACGAGTCGTTGCTTCGTCGTCTTCCTGGTATCAGGTACATCTAGCACTTGGTGGCGCGGTACTGACGCAACCACCACGTGCTAGATGTACCTAATTCGCCTGCAAAAAGTGGCCTACCAGCCAAACCACCCCACTAGCCCAAATATTGTCCGTCTCAGCAGTTTTTAACTCTTTCAGGAGGGGTAGGATCTTAGTATATACGCACATACAAAATTTACATACACGCACAAAATTTTTGTTGAACAATATGACATACTAATAGCAGAGAGAAGCCTGAGAGCGGTCAGCAGCCTGATTTCAAATAGTTTGGTAATTATCAAACGATTTGGTAATTATTACCAAGTTATTTGGTATAATTATCAAATCATTTGATTAGAAACTAAAATTGAGAACTTGTTTTACTATTTATTTTGTTATTGTTATCAAACAGTTAATAACTATTATCATATCTGGTACACATTACCAAATATCGCACTGTTAAAGTTAAACGTTTAACTAAATGCATTTGTTAACAATTTTCTTTCAGTGTACGAGAACTTTTTTTCACATGTGTTTAAAATTTATCGAAATAGTTTTATACTTAGACAAAATTACTGTCTAAGTTACTTTTTGTAAAAATACTTTCTAGTATCTTGAAATTTTGTCTATATTACAAGTATTCTTTAACCAAGCAACACTACTCTAGTATTCAGGGTTAATGAATATTTATATCATTGAAGAAACTTCCGTGGGCGTACAAATCATCAGAATGTTTTTAGATAACCGTGACCCTGAAAGTGCAATTAAGCAACATTTCAACTAGCAAACATGTGTATAATTTTGCAATGCAAAATTTTATACACGTGTGCTTAGTGATGACTTTTTTTTATTTTTAATGAATGTAGCATGTAATTTTAATTATTTACGGCCATATCGCGTGTGTGGTTACTTATCGCGACTGCGCGGAAATCGTCGCCACCGTCGCCGTGACTTTTAAGCGCGATTGAGAAATAAATTTAACGAGAGGAGTGAATCAAGTTGAATTAAGGTTGACGCGGTTAATAGCTTGTATAAATATCCGCAATGACACATGGGAATTCTCACGAAATCCTCCTTTGTTCTGTCGGTTGCAGTGTGTTCCTGGTCAGAGAGAGCAAAAGCAATCCGGGAGCTTACGTGTTGACCTACAAGTACAGCGACAAGGTCTTTCACGCGCAAATCCAGCCGGTAAGTATCCGCGCACGTGATCGATAATTAGCGACAAGTGGTGGATCCTTCGCGGTCGAGTTAACTTCGCGGCGATTAAGCGCGTCTAGGCGGAAAAGTTTCCCCCGGTCGTTTACTTTCAAGCCCCCGGAGCTACGGGTTATTGGGCGGATTGCCAGTGAAATCCTGGGAGACGCCTAAAGAGACGTCCGATCCTCCGCGATCTGAATTAATTCCGCCGAGTGAACCGCTGAATTAAACATTCCGTTCTCGTCGCCGTTATCCAACGCGATAATCAATTCTCGATATTTCGGCTATTTCGCGGAGATTCGATAACATAGTTGTACCCATCGAAAACGTTTCCGACTCTCAGACTTGACGTTCGTGAAGACGTTCGTCACGTGTTTCACGATCCGAGGATCTCGTCACGCGTCGTTCGCAGCATTCCGCATAGAAATTTCTTAAGACACGGTATAGATTTTGATTGGATTGTTGTAATATTGGTCATCCTATTGCGATATTAATTGGGAATTCGATTTTTATTTTAAATATAAGTTGTTTATTTAAACATGGAATCAGAAATACTACGGAAACTCGTACTATTTTTCAGTTGATTTACTTTCATGATATCGAAGTAAATATAAAAACTCGAAAAACAAAATATTTTTAGCATTTTGCTGAATAATGAAATTATTTTGAAAGTAAACATATGTTTTATTTAATATAAAATAAAGACCAAAAAAATAGTAATTATATTACTATAAAAAGTTATATCTCTCTTGAATTTGTTTGATTTTAAGAGGATGTTGGATATAATGATATAATGCAGCTATATTTTATTTTTCTATACTTGTATAGAATTGCAAATGCTTTTATAGAGACATAAGCGTTAAACAAGAAATATTATACAGATTATATTATGCAGAGTGAAAGTCAAATCACACGTGATACGCAACCCAATTTTTACATTTTTATACATAATTTGTCAGTGGAAAACAATTCCAATACTTTAAAGTGATACATCTCAGCAACTACATGCAACTACCACATAATTTACAAACGGTTTAAAATTCCTTTATAACATATCTTAAAATCAAAGAAATTCATATAACCTTTTCTACATAATTACCGATAATGATTTTAAGGAATAAGGGACTAGATCCCAATTAGATCCCAAGAAATGTCCCGTATGTGATACTCTGAATTTTCACGTCAACCGTGTTTCTTCCAGGTTTTCGATGAGCGTCGCAATTGCTGGCTGTACACCCTGGACAAAGGGGCGACCAAGTTCTATGACTTGCTGCAGCTGATCGAGTTCTACCAGCTGAACGCAGGCTCGCTGCCCACCCGGTTAACCCACTACGTACAGAACGGGGTACCGCCGCCGCTACCTAGGCCGGAGGACGGCGGCGCGTCTCCTTCGCCGCCCGAGGGCAGCCAGAGATTCAGCGACAAGGCTGAGTGCGGCAATCCAACGAGCATTTGAGTATAGGACAGTCGGCGACCCGTTGGTGTTGTCGACGACGATCGCCTGCTCACCGCTCCCACCGCCGCCCCCGTCACCATCACCGAAAACGTGGTGTTCGTGCACCATGGCGCCAACAACAGCCGCCTGAGAAGCCACGGCGACGGCAACGACGACGGGGGTGACGGCAATGGGAACGATGGCGACGTCCGCGCGACACGATCGGGTTGCTGGAGCCTGTGTCTCTGCAGTTACAACAAGTGGGATTTGTAGTGCGCGATCAGCAGCCGGACTGCCGGTGCTCGGCGGTGCTCAAGCGCGCGAAGAAGAAGAATCAGAAGAAGAATCAGAAGAAGGAGAAGAAGAAGAACGACGTGAAGAAGACGCGAACGAAGAAACAGAGAGAATGAAGACGAGAACGTGGAGCTTGAGCGTCTAACCGTCGAGATATCCTCGGGTCGCGATTCTTTCCATGCGGAGCGACTTGTGACGTCACTGGGTCGGCTGACCCGTGCAACAGAACGACCAATTTGGGCGCGAGGCACGCAATCGGGAGTAGAACCGACGGGAGAAGAACCGCAGGATCGCTGTTGTACGAAATCTCCCGTTCCCCTTCACCGTTCCACATCATCCTTGATTTTTCATGTTCGTTCCGTTGTCGTCCCGCTTAATGCGTGGATCAGACGTCGATGGAGAGAGCAGCAGCGCGGCCGCATGCCCGCCGACAGCGATCCTCACGCGGAAACGGAAACCTCTTCGATGTTTTTAAGCGTACGTTACTGTGTTAGTCGTGTAAGGATCGATCCATGGAACGATCGTTGGTCCATCTTGTCGTCTAGACGCACCTTCTCTCAGCTCCTTTCTTCACCCGTAAGACACACACACATACACACACACACACACAACATATATATACGGTACCGGCGGTTTTTCAGCGACAAGTGCGTCTAGACGGTCGAAGAAATCGTGTAATCTGTTTTTCTTTTGTTCTTTCCATTTTTTTCTACATGTCCACGTCCGCGCGAACATCGCGCGTGTGCAACAACAATTAGATTTACCATAACCCCGCGACGACGTCGGTCTCGTCGCTAGGTTATATCGCGATGAGAAGAAGTGAAAAAAGCGCGATTACGCGCGCGTATATGAGAATGGCTGTGTTTAGCAAAGAAAGTAGTGAACTCAGTAAGCGCTCAGTGATTATTGCCTGTGGCCGGCGTATTCTCTTAGATTTTTGCTGGTCCAAGAGAATATATCAATCGGGAATAATGATCATTAAGCGCTTATTAAAAGTTACTTTCTCTGCTAGACATCGGCAGTAATTAATGTGTGTTGTGCGTCGTATGCGTGCGAAGTTACGAAAGTGGACGAGAGGAAGAAGTGTCGTAGAATACGATACAAGTTTGCGCTACGTGCGCCAGCAATACAAGAGGAACACGAACACGAAGTTCAGTCTTTCTGCGTGTGTGTATGTGAGAGAGAGGGAGAGAGAGAGAGAGAGAGAGAGAGAGAGAGAGAGAGAGAGAATGAAAAACAAATGCAAGAAAGATCGAACGAAAGACAGAGAGAATGAGAGAGAAAGTGAGAAAGAAAGAGAAGGTGTGTGAATAAGATCAGGCGCGTGGTCTCCCCCTCCCCCACCCTTTTATATTTTTTCATCGTTTTCCCCTTTTTGGCGCGCGTCGCATCTCCCAAGCATCTCTTCCGTTCAGTTGTTTCTCCGAAGAGAATGCGCGACAGGGTGAACCGCGCCGGCTAGCTACCACGACTTTGTTGCTCGACGACGACGACGAGCTTAAGTGACGAGGGAGAATCGGCCAAGTCGAGGGAAAGAGAGAGAGAGGAGAGGGTTGTACGAAGCGTCCGTGTTCCGTTCATTAGCCGTAAGCTTTGTCAGACAAGATCGAGGTCGCTCGAGGGAATCGAACGATCCGAGTAACGTTCAGGTTCATGATTTATTCCCGAGTCCAGGGTGTTCAAAATTATAAGCGAGGCAGCTTCGTCGACGGAGTAAGAGGAAGGGAAATAGCATAGGTTTTTTCTCAGAAGTGTCGAGAGTGCATCGCGCCTTATGTTATAAAATTTTCTATAGCGGCTCGTGAGAACGAGCGGAAACGACGCAAACCAATGCGACGTAACGAAGCGGAAAGCACATACATACATACACTTTAACGAATCTAGGAGACACAATACGACTAGCGTAAGGGATCCTCGACGCGTGCGTGTATCGAGGACCGAGGGGCACGCTCGCGGATTCTCTTGGTATCACGATGCAAGTCGTGAGATCCGAAAGCGTGTCCCTGCGAAGACATGATCTCATATGTTACAGACGTTTCAGTTGCGCGAGGCATTTGTTGGTTAATACAAATTCGGAGATGAGGTTCGATTAATTACTATAAAGCTCTATGCTAAGAGAACGTAAGTGTTGAAATAAGGGAGCGAGAGAAAGAGCGAGAGAGTGAGAGAATGAGAGAAAGAGTGAGAAAGAGATGCGTGTGTACGTGTGAAGAGGCAAGAAATAAAGAGACGTAACGAAGACGAGGTTGGTCAAGCCGTAAAACAAAAGAGGTCTATTTAAATATAAAAAAAAGTATATATATATATGCATATTCTAAATTGTACGATTAATTTTATATTCGAGATATTAGTAAAAACATGTGCGGAGAGGAGGAAATCGGTGGTGTGAAGTTCGTGGATGTAGCGTCATCGGATGTGTGAGCGTTGTCGTGCATTCTAGATTTATATGGAGGTTCTTCACAAGTAACGTTTTTTCAAGTAATATAATGTGAAAGTCGTGTAAGATAAAAGAAAACAAAAAAAAGATGCGCGGATCGGTGGAAGCTGGAGTGTGCAGGGTATGGACGCGAGAAAAAATTATTTACGCAATGTATTATTATTCGTCGAAAGAGAGAGTACCAAAACCCCTCGTTCCTCTTCCCCATCCCCCCCCCCTCCATTCGTACCTACTTTTTAATAATATATTTTTTCATCGATTATTTATTTACCTTATCGTCGAATGTAGCGCCTGCGCGTCGTGTCTTGAAGTGGTAAACTTTCAAATAATTCGAAGAAGTGCAGATCTTAACTCGGATATGTAACACTCATATACCACAGACAACCTACACATACATTAAACAAGCATACATTATACACACGTACATATATACACACACATACAGAACACGTACACAAACACATTGCATTAAATTTTAGGATAGTAGCGCTTTATAGAACTGAATATTAGGATAACAAATTCTTCGTGAATGGGTATGAAACAATCTTTTGTAGAACGGTGGTCTCCAAACGCGGCGTTTATCCCCGAACCCGTTTGCGTAATACCTCCTCCACAACTCCTTCATACCTAAACCCCCACCCCTCCACACCCCTCTAACGAAATTCACGTTAAAATCGAGTAACGAAATTACCTCTCGGAATACGCTTATTGCGACAAAACTGTCCTTTCGGCCTTTCGTGTAAATATGTCTATTTAGGCCAAAAACCTCGTCTCCATCCTCGTCCCGTATCCCGTCTTAACCCCCGTAGCTCGTCGACAATTTGAAAATCAACTTTGATAGCGGTTAATCAATCTTGATTTTTCAAGCCGGCACTGCGGTCATTCCTTTTTCCTCGAAAATTCTTTCCTACCATCGATTTTACCATTTTTTTCTCTCTCTCTCTATCTCTCTCTCTTTACGCCTGTCTTTATAATCCGAGAACCGAACGGGAAACGAGACGGACGCCGGGTCTTCGTGGCCACCACACAGCGTAAAAAGCTATAAATATTATTATGATGATTAATTAACGACATAAATTATAATGAAATATATTTTGTATTAATGTAGTCACGAATTAATAATACGGCAAACGCAGTGGTCTGTGAGACTGAATCTAAGTAAAAAGAAAATATAAAACGCAATTAGTCCTGTGCGAATTTCATCGACGTCTGTTAAGAACAATAAAATAAACAGGTAACGGAACGTTAACAATTGTGTTCTCATTTCTATCCCCGGACAGTGTATTTCGTTGGTGCATTATCTCTCGTTTTCCTCTTCCTTTAGTTCAAGGCTTCTCGTTTGCTTTTAAACGCGTCATTGGTGAATTCGATGATTTAACTTGATTTTCACCCGTCTGTGTTGAGATTTCGAGATATTTTTTTGCCGTTGTCTCTCTTTCTTCTCTCTTTCGATTGCCGTGAAAACTGTGGCCACAACTCGGAATTGTAAGGAATACTCGTGCTCGCGCGTAAGCGATGGAATACCTCAGACGTTGATGAAACTCACATCTTCACTCTGGCAAGCGAGTAAAATGGTCCGACGCGGAGTTTGACAGAGCTTCTTCGGATTGCTTCTCAAACTCAGTCAGTCAGTCGCACGAGTTGGATTGTACGAGCAGTGCAGACTTTCAAATTCCGAGTCTAATGAAAAACGAGGGTCCGAAGGAGTAATAATAGCGGTAGCATCGCCGCTAGTTCGCTCGCTAGTTGAAGTCAAAGCGTACAAGTTTCCGGCCAGGCTTTTTGCTGTTGCACTCCCGTGCAATTTGCAACATGCAAAGGCAGCTTAATTCGTAGAATATACGTGTATAAATACGATTATATCACCGTCGCGATCACTTATCTGTCATCCGCTATGGATTCCGAAAGGGGTGAAAAGGGGAAACGATCAATGGTCTCTATCTTGTTTTCCGACACTACGATATATAACGTTATAAATTTTTGTTATACTTATATGTGTTTCTTAAATACTGTCTAATATTTTAAGAGTCGATCCTTCAGATCATTAGTTTTAAAGACTAATTTACATGCGAAACGTCAACTTTAACTATTTTGTCACTATTTTGTGTCGTTTTTGTTTATATATTAAGCAAATTTATTCTCGCGCATATTTTTACTGTGTAAGAGCATTTGTAACTCTGTGCAACCAATACAACGTAAACTTTGCAAAAAACGTCTGTATTCTGCCGGTAAAGATTTCTATCGCAACATTCTTTTAAAAATTATTACGAAAAAACGATAATTTTATAAAAATTTAATCTTTGTATCTCCGAAACGAGACTTTTAAGACTTGTTCATATGAATTTTTCTTCATAAAAATGGCGATTAGTCTAATGACTAATCGATCAATATTCTATTAGTCTATTAAACTAATAGATAGATCAATAGACTAGAGATTAGTCTGTTAGACTAATTAGTCTATTAGACACACTGTATGTGTCAGTAAAGTAAATATCCGTCTGATACAAATGATTTGTAACTTATATATATTGAATGCATGTGAGTTTGCTCAGAAAAATTTCAAAGAATATTGCTGTACCTTTATACCTGAATTTGGAGGCTTAAAAATATGCAAAAGTTTATGGAAAAGTTTGCAGAACAATTTTTATACATGCATGGTTTTCCGTTAAATATGGCAAAACAAAGTAACATATATTTACGTTAAATCAACATGTACAAGAAATACGAAAAGGATAGCGTGATTGTGTAATTCGTTTCTACGTTATCAACATTTTTGGAGTTTGTTATTCACTCCAGTATTTCCTTAAACAAAAAGCAAGAAAACAAGTTTTTTATTAGTACCGTATCATAACTGAAGAGCACGTATCTCTCTAGTTAGAGTTGAAACGTCAAGTTTAAAATAAATTGCGCATTCTGCATTTATAACATCAGATAAATCAGATTAAAATATTGAAATGCAAATATCTTTTAAACTAATGACTTTATCGAAATCTATTACGAGTACTTTTTGCATAGGTAATTAATAAAATAACAAAAATTTGCAAAAATAATTTGTTCCGTTCATTGGCGTACAAGTTCGAAGCAATAATGTACTATTCAAACTTCATTTTGATGTTATTGACATTTTACAAAACGACGATTATAGGTAAAAATGAAAATGTTACTCTGTCTATTTACTATGGTATATGGTTCGAGTTTGAATAAGAACCTCTTAGGAGATATTTAAAAAAAAAAGATAATTTTACGAAATGTTTATCGATTTGTAATTCTGAAACAAGATTTTTGTGATAATGTATTTATATAATCTTTTCTTCATAAAATAACCATAAAATAACTTTAAAAATCAACTCTAAATTTAAAAAAAACAACTAAAATATTGGACAGTAATTAAGAAACATCTTATACATTTAATATTGTTGTTCATTATTCGATTTATAGATTCAAGAAACAATCTGTTCGATGTAGAAGACATCGAGAAGAGTTAGTCTTTGACTAATTTTTCCTAAAGCGAAGTTTCGAGTTACGGCCGATATTCGGATCTTATACTTAAGACTGTCTTTAGTTTATCTTCAAATATTCTCTGTGTGGCCAATGAAATAATCCGTTCGACATCTGAAGATAAATTTAAGACGATCGTAAGTATAAAATCTGAAATATATGGATATCGCTCTATATGATCGATCAAAAGCAGAAGAGGTCATTCCGCAATATAGACTCCTTACCGCGCAATTCTCGATTGATGACGTCAGTGACATAAAAGTTCTTGCAAAATACGTTAAAATAAAAAAATATACTCATAAAAAAGTACTTGTTGATCAGATACATCTATAAAATAATCCTTTCCTTTTGCTCTAATAACCAATAGATTTCCATGAAATTAATGACACAGGAACAATCTATCTTTTTAATCTACATTTCCTCATTTGTCACGTTAATTTTATAATTAATTATTGATTATTAGGACCAAGAGGAAAGTGTTCGAACTATTTCACACATCTGCTCGATCGATTGCAAGTGTTATTTTATGGATACATCTTTTTAAGTATTTTGCAAGAATTTTTAGCGTATATTTTCTCACTTTTGACGTCATAAGTTAAGATGGCCGCAGTGAGGAGTCTTGAGTAAAGGAGATTTTATCGGTCGTTTGAATACTCTCTTTTCTGCGGGATTTTCATTCTACGATTACGATTCGATACTTGTTAATGTTGTACGTGATTGTTCGCGCAGCGCGTTGGGGTGGGAGAGTCGTCCCACGACGGGAAACGAAGCGGAGCTGGCGGAAATCGAACGCGAGAATGGGATTCCACTCGCGATCACGTCCAAAATAATCGAATCCACCACCGTGCGCTCCCCATTCACGGATCGCAGTCGCAATAGTGATAAATAATTAATCGCGATCTCGTGATTATCGTCCGACTCCGCGGTGGACGCGCGTCGCGAGCGAATACGCTTTGAAGCGAGAGAGTGTGATTGCCCTGGTGGAAAAATTGGCCGAAAGTGCCCTTGCTCTGCCCATGATTACCGAGGGGGTAAGCCAGTGTGATTACTGATGACATATACGAGCCGTGCGGCACGATGCAAGTCATGTCAGTCTGATTCAGAGAATCGGGAGGGTACTCTCTACGTTTCTTTCTCAGAGAATCTCACTGAAAACAAGCGAAACATGGCAGTATTTTCGCTCGAAGCGACAGTGAAAATAACACCATTCGAAATTCGCATAAGTGAATGTTTCTCCGAAACTTAGGGTAGACTTTGACTCCGTACGAATGAATATTTCAATCGATTAGAACATCAGATTCACTCTCCAATTTCGAATAAAAATATCCACTTGACGATTTAGAGTGCACTTTGTATTTAGTCTGTATGAATGAAAAACAAGTCGAATGACTTTCGCTGTCACTCTACTTTGTGAGTGAAGTTTCACTTCAGGATATTTGGAGAGTATTCTTTAAATTTCTTGAGGTAGAATCTCACTCAAAACAAGTGAAAAGTATTTTCGCTCAGAGCGATAGTGAAAATACTGCCGCTTGAAGTGAGTTTGTTGCTCAATGTCGATTCTGACTCCATGTAAGCGAATGTTTTAATTGATTAGAGTGAATATATCCATCTAATGGTACACTTTATCAAGAGAGTCATTCTTCAGTTTAGAGTAAAAATATTCGGCAAAATGGAAAATTCACTTTGTGTGAATGAAAAATAACTCGAATTCGAGTGAATCTCTTCACTTTGTAAATGAAATCTCGCTCCGAGATAATTAGAGAGTATGCTTTAAATCTCTTGAAGTAAAATCTCATTAGAAACAAGTAAAAAATATCAGTATTTTCACTCGAAGTGATGATGGAAATACTGTCACTTGAAGTCACAAGAGTTAATGTAAGCTTAGAGTGGATTTTGAGCGAATGTGTCAATTAATTATAGTGAATATATTCCTCGATGGTGGAGTACTACAAATTAATTCTTCAATATCAAGTGAAAATATTTACTCGACTCAGAATGGAGAATTCAATATGAGTGAAAAGTCAATCGCTTAACTCAGTAATCATTCAACTTTTCGAGTGAAATTTGGTTATAAAAATTTGAGAAAATAAGTTTAAACTCTAATAGATATAACAGTTAAAGTTTATTTTTACTTCTAGAATTTAAGCTCCAAATTTTAATAGTAGGTAGGATCAGAGTTTTAAACTTAAAAATCTAAGTTTATGTTACTATTGAAAAATCGGCCCTTCTAAAGTGAATTCTAATTCTACACGAATAAATGTTTTAATCGATGAATATGTTTGTGTGACGATACAGAACATCAGATACATTTCTTCAGAGTTTCAAATGAAGATTTTCACTTGACGATTCAGAGTGGGAAATTTACTCTATATAAATAATAAATCATTTTAATTCGAGTAACTCAACTATTATTCTACTTTACGAAGGAAATCTCCAAGAAGTCTAGAGGGTACAGGAAATACTTAACGTGCACATAATTCGGCTACTTTGGAACTTCTCTTCGCGAGCAGGAATTTTTCGTCACATTAAAATCACATTTTTCGAGATATATGATAGATTTATGAGCGACGGCTTGCATCGGCCGCTGCGCCCAACGCGGCTTACATTAGACAACCAAAGAGGAAACTAATCAATCGACAATCGCCGAGCGCGTCCTCAACGATTGCGGGCCACTCTGTCAGTGTAATAAATAATTTCGCACACCCGCAGTCCGCGAGCGCGCGCTCACGCGTTGAAAACGAGCGGTGAAAG